GCGAGGTTGCAGTGAGCTGACATCACACCATTACATTCCAGCCTGGGCAATAGATTGAGCAAGACTCCTTCTCAAAAAAAAAAAAAAAAAAAAAAGACAATAAAGATTCAAAGTTTATAAATACATTTTACAGCATTTCTTGATTGGCTACTGGGTTCTGGGTGCTGTGCTAGGAAATAAAGATGTGAAAAAATACTCATGATCCCTGGACTCAAGGAGTTCCGTTCAGTGGAATACAGACAAATGGGAAATTACAATCATCACCATAAAAATAGTTTTATTCTATTTCTGAGTTCTTACTATATGCCAACACTATATATTTTTAACTTGTTTAATCCTTATCACAACCATATGAGGTGGGTACTCTTATTTTCCTTATTTTACAACTGAGGGAAGTGAGAAAAAGAGCAGTTTAGCACTTAAATTTGCCTTATTCATCAAGCTTATAAGGGAGTTCAAATCTAGCCAGTCTAGACTATATTGCCTCTTTAATAAAAATAACAGTAACAGGCAATACTTACTGAGTACACTATTCCGTTCTGTTCCCCTACTACCCTTTCCACAAACTTGCCAGAGTTCTCTCTAAAATGTAAGTTTGATTATTTCACTCCTCTGATCAAAACCCTCCAATGCTCCCAATCTCTCTTAAAGTATGAGGCAGCTCTTACAATGTCCTATGCAGCCCTACCTGATCAGCCCCTTACCTCCTGGTTAACCTCACTGCCTATCACCCTCCTCCTCACTCACTCCATGGCAGCCTCCTTGCTGTTCTACACACCAGCCATCATTCTTCTGCCCCAAAACCTTTGCTCTTGCTATTCCCTGTGCCTGGAATGCCTTTCCCCTGGATATCTGCATGGCTCTCTCCCTCTCTTCATTCAGATCTCAACTCCAGTGTCATCTTATCAGAGAGGCTTACCTTGCCTAAAATAGAACTCCATCCCATGTGTACTCCCTATCCCCCTACATACCAGTGTTATTCTTCAGAGCACTTAAGACACTCTGAGGTGCTGTATATTTATTTTCTGTCTCCTTTAACCAGAATGTAAGTTCTGTGAGGGAAAGATTGTGCCTTATTCACAAGACTATCTCTAGACCAAGAACAGTGTAACATACAGGCATTGTTCAAGAAATATTTTGTCAAATGAGTGACTGATTAAATATGCTTATCTTTTAATGAGTTTGCTACATACATGGTCTCCACTTTCTTACCTCTCATTCATTCCTTTTTGTTGTTGTTGTTGTTGTTTTTTGAGACCGAGTCTCACTCTGTTGCCCAGGCTGTAGTGTAGTGGCGTGATCTCGGCTCGCTGCAACCTCTACCTACCAGGTACAAGCAATTCCTGTGCCTCAGGCTCCTGACTAGCTGGGACTACAGCTAATTTTTGTGTTTTCTGTAGAGACAGGGTTTCACCATGTTGGCCAGGCTGGTCTCAAACTTCTGACCTCAGGTGATCCACCCGACTCGTCCTCCCAAAGGGCTGGGATTACAGGTGTGAGCCACCACGTCAGGCCTCATTCACTCTTTAAATGACTCTAAACTAATTCTTACCCTATTTCACTGAAATTGTTCTTGCCAAGGTCACCATTGCTAAATGAAATGGACGTATTTCTGTCCTCATTTTATTGGGTGTCTCAATAATAATTCGCATAACTAACTCCATCCCAATTCTTGATACAAATAAAACCCATTCTCTTCTCTCTCTATGCTCTCTTTAAATGAACCCACCCATTCTTATTGCTTTAAACTTTTCTTTGTGCAAATGACTGCACAAATATCTCCTCTAAATCAGACCCATGTACCCAACTTCTTACGTAGTATCTCTATTTGACGGTTTCACAGGTATTTTTATTCCTATGTATTCACCAAACCTGCTCCTCCCTGCTACGGAGATAATTATGTACCCACAAAAATGTATATGTTGAAGCCTTAACCTCCAATGTGATTATATTTGAAGACATGGCCTTTAGGAGACAACTAGGGTTAAATGAGGTCATAAGGGTAGGGCCCTTACCCAACTGAATTAGTTTCCTTACAAAGAGAGACAACCAAGATTTCTCTCTCTCTCTCTTCAAATGCACACAAAAAAAGGACACATAAGAACATAGGGAGAAGGCAGCTATCTGTAAGCCATGAAGAGAGGCTCATGAGAAACAGAATTGGCTGGAACCTTGATCTTGGACTTCCAGCTTTCAGACTGTGCGAAAATTAAGTTCTGTTGTTTAAGTCATCTAGCCTGTGGTATTTTGTTATGGCAACCCTAGCAAACTAATACAGTTCCCCATCTTGCTTTACTCAATGAAAATTGCCTCAGTCTGCCCAATTGTTTTTCTTCTCCCTTTCTTTCACCCTACTCCTTACATTTATTCCAGTAACATCCATGATTCTAACTCCAAGATTTGTCTTAAACCCATCAACTCCCAACAATTTGGGAAGTTGAGGCAGGAGGATTGTTTGAGCCCAGGAGTTCAAAACCAGCAGCAACCTGGTGAAACCCCATCTCTTAAAAAAAAATTTAAAAATTAGCTAGGCAGCTGGGAGTGGTGGCTCATGCCTGTAATCTCAGACCTTTGGGAGGCTGAGGCAGGCAGATCACTTGAGACTAGGAGTTTGAGAACAGCCTGGCCAACATAGCAAATTGTTAAGCTAGTTCTAAATGTATATGCAACATACTAAAAATA